AAATCACAAATGTTAAACTCAGCATGGTGTTTAGCAGCATGGATATTTACCTGAGTAAGTTGTGATTCACCGACAAAGGCGAAGAGCACGGCGATAAATATGGTGACAGCAATTCTTCCACCGAGACGGAAGGGAAGGTCTGTGTCTGACATCGTGGTGGGAGGGAAAGATAGGATTTAACCGAACAGAGATTATGATTGAGATTATAACTCTTGCATTTCCTGCCAACACTGCTTATTAGGGCTGGCGGTTATCTTCCGCTGCAAGGAGATGCGAACAAGTATAATGTCAGCCTTCGGAGTAGAAACTAAAGTTACAGCCTTACAGACCTCGTGTTACGGAACTGGCCACGTGACTCTTACAGGACAAACGTGCCAATGCAAGTATTTGATGAGAACCACTAAAAGTAACTTTTGAGCGTTCAATTTCTAACATTACCATCATGCTCAGAGCTTTGCTATCGTCAAGCAGACCGCTTCTTATGCGTTTTCGCGCAACAACTATTCCTCATATTCATCATCATCACCTTCCCGTTCAGTCAATACCAATGGCAACACCAGCGTTGGCGAGAGGCATGAAAGTTCGCTCGTCTGTGAAAGTCATGTGCGACGGGTGCAGCGTTGTTAGGAGAAAAGGAAGAGTGTATATTCTATGCTCCAAGAATCCAAAACACAAACAGGTACTTGGAACAGTTCTATATTCAGAACTTATTTTCATTTTCGGTTAGCGGCAAGGATAGTACTCCCCACTGGACAATTCAAACTGGTTTAGAGGTGCAAAGATGTATGGAAATAGAAACGCTACTCTGCAGAACATAATGACCACCCGCGTCCTCCATACCATTCCCCATTCATCGAACCCACATTTGAAATTCATAGGTAACACCATTTTCCACCTGCAAGCCTGTTGGAACTGCACCCCCAACCCAGTCCTCTAGCTCCTGGTGAGATGCCCTTGTCCATTGAGGCTGCTCGCCCCCATCCGCAAGAAAATCCGGCATATAGACATCACATTCCTCAAATGCCGGTTCTATGATACGTGTTAGCAAGATCCTGTTTACAGGAGGGGTCGATGAGGGCGACAAAAGTTTGGGAGACAGGCATTCAGAATACAGCAAAGCTCCTCCGATAATAAAACGACGGTGTATTGTTTTTTCAACACCGCCCGTCCACCGTAAGGCAGAATCTAGCTCGTTGTGCAGGTAACAAGGACTAGATGCATCTGAGGGCCTTCACTTTGCGATGAACGTTCACGTCATCCAGATGAAAGCTGGCACGTACAACGGATATTCTTGGTTCCCACTGATAACAATATTGATCCGTCTTGGAAGGGGCCTGAATTTCTGTGGGATGCTTTCCCAGGTGTTTCTCCCCATAATCACTGCGTTCATGGAACCCTCTGGGGCTGTCGAGGTTACGCGAGCAAAATACGCGATTTCTTTGGGCAATCGCCATGGTAGACGGCCATTTTGTCCAATTCCATTCGTCCTCGTAGCTGCAACAATGATAGTGAAAGATGACATCGATTTTTCGTGATCCGAATGCAACCCGAATCGTGCATATTTAACGTCGTCCAAATCGAGCTGGATAATAGGCCACCAAACGAGCCAAACTGAACCAAAAAACACGTGAACTTACGCACTTGCACTCATCATTATTATAAAATAATTAAGGAGTAAGTATGTTGGAGAAGGGGTCAACCTGGAGGAAAATCCCCTCCACTCTTATGGTCAGAGCCTTGGACATGAACATTCCATTCATCAGTCCAACTTTGATGAGACTCAGCAGGTTGATACTGAGGCTGAGGTTGCTCCCCGTAATTATAACCTTGCCACTGAGGGGGTGGCATGTGCATGTTAAAGCCAAAAGCCGACGCAAACCGAGGATTGATATGAGGTTGAACGTAATGTTGTTGTTGTTGCTGTTGGTGATAATTCATGCCGCCTTGTAGTAATGATACTGATGACCACGGCAAAGGAGTGTTAGCGTGCTGCATGGATTGATATTGCATCAATTCATCCGCAACTTGACTTGTTGCATGCTCCATTGCTGTGTATAATGATTGGGGTGTGTGTGTCGATTCGCCATGTTCGATGGAACGCGTAGAATCTTGAGGAGTACGGCCTCTAGAGCGATAGTTGCGATCATCTCTGTCGTGGCTCCAACGTCCCCGTCCTCCGCGACCGCCTCGCCCTCGTCCACGTCCTCGTTTGCCGGCCCTACTCTCCTTATCACCCTGCCATTGCGACGGAGCACTTGTAGACTGTGGGGAAACCTGTGTAGAACCTTGGGAGTCTTCGTAATGTAAAGTGTCCAAGGAAGATTCGTTGGCATAAGGATCGTCATACGGAATTGGTGGCGGACGAGAGGGCCCAGGTGCACAAAAGTCTTCATCGTAAGGACCATGAGCATCGTATGGATTTGATCCGTATAAACGGCCATCTCCCATATCGTCGTAATGTGGACGAGAAGGACCCGGAGTTGTTTGTCTGGACGAAGAAACGGATTGCCCTCGTCTGCATCGGATTCAATGAGATGGAAATGAACGGGGCTGAATTAATTGTATACCTTTTTCTGCGGTTTTTGAACGCGGCCTCTTGTTCATCATCTGAAAACTCGAGTTCCTCTTCTGCGGGTTCTTCATCGTGTATGTTACTAGCATCGCTCCCCCTCAGCTTTTTTAGATAATCAACAAAGACAAATTTGCTATGTCGAGGTACATGATAGACATCGCGAGAGACACGGACTTTTTCCGTGTCCAAGGGATACTCTCGATCAAATTTGACCTGGTAAAGCGGCTGGGATGTCGGGCCGAACGTTTCGTGTATCTTAGAAAAACCTCAGAAAGTGGAATGGAACACACAAATTCGAGACTTACATGTCCTAGAACTTTTCTATCGTCGAAGACAAGTAATGTCTCCGTATCTAACACTCGCTCCGATATCAACTTAGCAGCTTCCGCAGACGTGCCCTTGATGATAACAACGTTGCCCACAATGCTGATTATTTCCCCAACTTTTTCGAGGATTTCGTTTGAATCGACCTCAGAGATAGAAGGCACCAGAATGCCTCCATCGACCACCTCATTCTTTGTTTGTGTATATGCCGTCGGAGCCGGTCCTGATTCCTCATCATCCAAGTCGAATTGGGGCTTACGGATATCATGGTCGTGAATCGTGGGTGATAAAACGTCTGATTCCGACGAGCTAGAATCAGAATCAGAGGAGCCAGCCGAATCTGAGTCCGAGTCCGAGGCGGATATGATTGGTCTGAGCGACGATTACTTTCGTTGAGAAGTTTATATTCAATAAGTATGTAGTGCGACTCACCGTGATGAAGAAACGCCTCCAATATCGTCTGCAGTGGCCAGCAAGTCGGCTTCGACTTCGTCCTCAGAATGACCCTCGCTGCTTGAGCTATCAACAGAGTCTTCATCAGTCTGCCTAAGGGTGTCCCATCGAGTATCTACTGTGACGGGAGATATTTCCCCAACTAGATCCTTTATCAAGAGAATATCCTGAGGGATGATTTCCGGGATTTTGAATGGATTGACCATGCTCGATAACAGAGCTTTTTGTTTGAATGATTTTCCAAACGTGAAAGTGATGGTATGTGTAAAACCAAAGCTTGTCAAGCCAGGCATATTGATCATGTGATCGAACGCGTAAATGAAAAGTTCCTTTGGGAAATTTTAAAGCTTTTCGACTACGACACACATACACCGGAAACATGTACTCAACAGTCAATTCTCTGGTAAAATCTCGCATGCTATCTCGGTGCATATCAAGGGCTTACTCCACCAGTCTTCCAAAACCACCTTTGCAACTTGTTGCGCAACTGAGGAAGCTCACGGACGTGTCTATAACCAAGGCACGGGAAGCGCTTATTGCAAGTAACAACGACGTTAATGCAGCTTTGCAATGGCTTGAGAAGGATTTGGCCGTTTCCGGTGCTCGCCAGGCTGCAAAAGTGGAAGGTCGGGACGCCCGTGAAGGGCTTATTGGCATTTCCATATTGTCAAGCGGCAGCGCTTCAAACAGTATCATAGGGAGTGGTGGAATCCGCGCCGCTATGATTGAGCTCAACTGCGAAACAGATTTTGTGGGCCGAAACACGCTATTCACGCAACTCGCTGCTGATATTGCACACACCGCTGCATTCATTTCGGATCCAGTCGACTCTGGCTGTCTCATCAATCCATGCCCGCTAGATCTTTTGAATGACGCGCCTCTGATTTCGCACATTACCCCTCATTCTCACCAATCGTCAACAGTATCAAATTCCATCCGAGACCTAATCGCAAAAGTGGGGGAAAAAGTCTCCCTCAAGAGGGTGGTTACGGTTGTGCAGCCCCCTGCACCCCGACAGGCCACACTTGGTCTTCGATTGGGATCCTATATGCATGGGTCAATGGGTTCTGCCCTCCAAGGTCGAATAGGTGGTTTGGCTGTCATTGGAATACAGTCACAAGAACTGTCTAGCCAATTATCCTCAGAGCCCTTTATGCGGGATATGGAGAAATTGGAGCGCAGCGTCGCTCGCCAAATTGTGGGCTTTGAAACAAAGTCGATAAAAATCGATTCAAGCCGTCAAGATGGTACAGCGCTTTATGAGCAACCATTCATGATGCTTGGGGGCGAAGCAGCGAATGAAACTGTACGTGATGGACTCGACAAATGGGGTCGTGAACATGGTTTACGGGGAAACGAGAACGATGGGATAGAAGTTTTAGAATTTGCTAAATGGACAGTAGGGGAAGTTGTTGAGTAATGGAAGGCACCAGGAATACTCACCATGAATCATTGTGCAACTGTTACTATCATTCACGTGATATAAGGTGGTTTTGTGTTGCAACCCCAGCGCAGACAATAAGTAATAAGTGTGCGACAGAGAAGCAAAAAGAATAAAAAGAATAGCGACAAAACGAGCTTGTTCGATTGCTTCCTCTTGTCCTTCATTGTCAGTGTCAGTTGCAGGGAGATTTAATAAAAACAAAAGGAAAGTCCCTACCGTGGTTCGAACACGGGCCCCCACGATGATTACGTAAGCACCGGATACACCCGGTGCCAGTTGCAATCGTGTGCTCTACCACTGAGCTATAGTGACATGCTAACATATGCACGATTCATGGTGATAAGTAGCTTGTGGAATATTACCTGGCCCTAAAAGTATCAGGGAACCGTCCCATAGTCACTCTACGTAATTCCTGCTTGCTCCCAACTTCCACCAGTGGCGAAATCGAGACATGCGCAAGGCAGCAACGTCGTTAATCAAGGCAAGGGCTAATGGTTGGTGTCCCAGGCATTATTCTCGAGCAGCAGAATCTTCTTTGCAAATAACCACTCTGCCCAACAAAATCAGAGTCGCAACGGAATCGACTCCAGGTCATTTTTCCTCCGTTGGGTTATATGTCGATGCAGGTTCAAGATACGAAAATGTGTCACAGACAGGAGTCAGCCATTTCTTGGATAGAATGGCCTTCAAGGTATGACTTCCCTCCTCAGTTACTTCTCACTCATGACTTTACTTCGCAGACCACTCGTTCCCGCTCTGGTTCAGATATGGCCGCTGCAGTGGATAAACTTGGTGGTCAAATAATGTGCTCATCCTCGCGAGAATCGATCATGTACCAATCTTCAACTTTCCACCAAGCTACACCCCTCGCACTTTCCCTAATATCCGACACAATACTTAACTCTTCGTTCCTCCCAGACGAACTTGAGGCGCAGAAAGATGCAGCTCGTTACGAAATTCGTGAGATAAATGGGAAGCCGGAAATGATACTTCCTGAAATACTGCACGAAATCGCATACGGAGGAAAGACGTTGGGAAATCCACTGCTTTGTCCTGAAAACCGAATAGATGCAATCACTGGAGACTTATTAAGAGGTTGCATCACTGATTGGTATCGACCAGAGCGAATGGTGATAGCTGGGGCTGGTATGCAGCATGAGGACCTCGTGGAATTATCTGATAAACTCTTTTCTGGCCTGAGACCTTCACCTATGCCTGCACCACCTTCTCCGAAACCGACTTCGCAATCTATACCCCCTCATCTACTCCCCGGGTCATCTCCATCAATTTATAAATCTTTAACTCGCGCAGCTTCATCATATCTATCGCCTGCATCAGGATCTTCAAGTGGCCCCCTATTGGACTCTCGCTCTACCTACACCGGTGGCATCCATCATATTCCCAGTACAACTCAGGAATTTGATCACCTTTATCTATCCTTTGAAGGTGTCGGGATTCATGATGACGATATCTATACCCTCGCAACAATGCAAGTTCTATTGGGTGGTGGAGGGAGCTTTTCTGCCGGTAAGCAACTATTATCAAAACGAAATATGATGCTGACGTGACCCCAGGTGGTCCGGGGAAGGGCATGTACTCTCGTTTATACACCCACATTCTGAATCATTTCCCTCAAGTTGACCACTGCGCCTCTTTCCATCACATCTACACTGATTCATCGCTATTTGGCCTGTTCGCTTCATTCGTGCCCAATGCCCCGGGCCAGCGAGGCAATACACCAGCACAAATACTGCCTCATCTGGTGCATCAGCTTAGTCTAATGGTTTATCAAGATATCCCTGCTGCTGAGCTCGAACGTGCCAAAAATCAACTCAAATCGAGTCTAATGATGGCGCTTGAAAGTCGTGCTGTGGAAGTCGAGGATCTAGGACGACAAGTTGGTTCAGTGTTGTCCTCCAGCTCCTACTTTTCCTGATAATCTTTTAGATTTTGGTTCACGGCCGCAAGATTCCCATTACTGACATGACTGCAAGCATTGATCAAGTAACTTCTGGATCCGTTCGCCGCGTTGCATCGCGAATTTTTGGACCACAGTCAGGCAACAAAGCGACGATAGTAGCCATGGGACGAGGAGATATTGGCGACTGGCAGGGTGTGCTTCGCAAGTACGGGATTGCCGGAGGTTCTAATTAGTGGGTCGTCTCGCACATGATTTGGATTTTAGATATTGCGCACACTATTGTTTAGAGGTTTAATAACTATTCATATTCGAATAAATGCATCGACATGAAACTCGACTTGAGCCCAAGACGGAAAATAGACAGTAAGAATCCCTATACACAGCTATCCGCAGATATCGGGATACATGAGGTCGGTTGGGCTCTGGGGTATCCACCCATTGGCCAAACCTGCTTGGTAGGACCACTCGTCCGCATTTTCAGCCTTCCACGTCCATTGCAACCAACCATCCCCTTTTTCATACGATATAACTTGAGCTTCCCAGAACTGTCGTAAAAAGGTCTTGTAACTTGAGCTGAAGGTCGATGCGCTTCCAGATTGTCCTGTGCAGCTTCCAATGTATGAAGAACCGGGGTACGAGCCGTCGTAGCGTGCACCCACGCCTCGGCCATTAAGATAGACCGCACAGTCGGTTGGAGCAGGCGACCACTCGCCAACAATCAACCAGAGATCAAAACTAGAAAGGGAAGATTGCAAGGCGCAAGCGGTGTCGATGTGATCCTGATAGCTCATCCCCACATCCTATTGTTGTTTAGTATTGTCTCAGATATACGTGCTGTGGATGAACGTACTGCATCGGAGAACACCTGGTATATGTGTGTATCCATTGCTACTCCTTGCCATGTACTTGGTGTTTCAAACCCACTCCAGTAGCTGAGAGGCTGAAAGGCATCGTGAATCAGCTCGACTGTGTTGCTCTGCTGAGATGTGTCGTAAGGATATCTGAGTATAGGTAGTGAATATCCGCAATTATTGTCGTTTCTAGACTGACGCCTCACCTGATATTGCCGTACGAATCGTACCAATACTGTCTCACTGCCGTCAAGACTGCTGCACCATCATAACCTGCAGGCCTGTGATTATATCCTTATCATCTGTGTCCCAATATTACGCACTATTTAAACTCACTCGTTCAGCGGGGCTATTATGGGAACAACATTTGTCTGATCAGCGAACATGGATGCAATCGTCTTGATGATGGCATCCGTCCGATCGATGTTCGTCTGATTCGAATGCCAACCAGGATAAGGCAATCGCTCCCCAGAATTATCATACCTAGGAACCAAATCAGATTATGCATGGAATACAAGAATACTATGGCATACCCGTTCTGACTTCCGGGAGCCCCATGAAGATCGATAATGACTTTAAGTCCGTATACCCCGGCCCATGTGACAGCCTGCTGCAAGTAAGGCAATTGTCCCTGGATATATGGCTCTCCTGGGCCGACTTCAAACGCCCAGTATCCAACAGGAAGCCGCACATGATTTAACCTGTTGGGACGGAAATTATGAGCATCATCTACTTTATGAAAGTCGAGATTGATTACATACCCAGCAGCTGCAATGTTAGCAAAATCATCTGCTGTTATCCATGTGTTCCAGTGGTTTTGTAAGACAGCCGTTGCAGTGTCTTGATCTTGAAGTTGGCCAAATGTCCATTCGTCGACGATGTTCTCGTTCCCCGTGTTATCGAACAAACTCGGTGTGATCCATGGCTAAGTTAGACTGGTGAACTGCTGTCCCATAGAAGCGATATCACCAAGGTTCAATAACTTACCTCCAGAACAAGCCATCCGCCAAGGTTGACACCACGGACCTTCTCAGAGCCGTAAGGGAACCCTGGGGTGAACTGAGATAGCACTGAAGGGATCACAGAGAGACACAACAGACTCGATACGACGGTGAAATAAAAATCGGGCATGATTCCACTGTAGGGGGTTGCGGACCAGCGGTATTCGTGAGGTAGGATTTATAGTCTTCCTATCATGCTTGAATTTGCTTTCAGAGGAGGCCGAAGATTCACTGATCGAGCTCTCGCCCCGATCCACGCGTGTTTGGGCGGTAGGTTATACAGCCTATCGAATCTGCACACGGCTGCTCGCATCACTTACATTGCCTAAGATGCTGTGGAGCTGGAGGCAGGAACCCGTTCATCTAGAATGGAAGTGACTGTTATGGCAGAAACACACATACAGCACGACCGAACAGGACGTTCTGAGATATCCCGGCATATTGCCATGCCCGCAGATTGGGCCAAAGATCCGTTATCTAGGCCACTGAAGACGATCGAAGCCAGTCAAACGAACAAAGTTAAGTGAGCGTCAACATTATACATACCCGTTGCCCATTGGATTGGATAGGAATCAGATGTGGTATATGCCCTGGCGTGCATATTTTCGAATCAACCATCTGACCCAAGCAAGGCGAGAACAATCGTTGTGGATCATACTGGCGGCCGGCCCAAAATGAAGTACCGCGCATTCCATTTTAAACCCGGGCTCTATTCACCATCGTGCGTGTCCCTTGTGGTGTTTGTCGAAGAGAATTCAACGTCTGTGATTGTGATAATGGTATTCCTCGTTTTGTACACGCCGTAGTTATCTTTATCTCCACTGCAAATTAGGTGGTGCCGGTGGAAGTACTATGTAATATGGGCATTTGGGTATCTAGTTGCAGATAGTCGGGTATTCGAGGTTAGTTGGGTTCTGCGGTATCCAACCATTCTTTAAGCCAGCTTGGTAAGACCAGTCATCTGCATTCTCAGCTTTCCACGTCCACTGAATCCATCCATCTCCTTTCTCATAAGATATCACCTGTGCCTCCCAGAATTGTCGCAAAAAGGTCTTGTAGCTCGAGCTAAACGATGAGGCACTTCCACTCTTCCCAGTGCAGCTACCAACACGTGTGGAGCCAGCATAGCTGCCATCATATCGTGACCCAACGCCTCGACCATTTAGGTACTTCGCACAATCCGTCGAGGCAGGCGTCCATTCACCGACGATAGTCCATAAGTCGAAGTTGGACAACCCGGAGCCCGCGCTGCACGCCTGAGAGATATGTTGTTGATTGGTCATAGCGACGCCCTATGGTATAAACCCAGTTAGTTGCTCCCTAAGAGAGTCGACACTGGTTGATGTACCTGGACTGAAAACATCTGATATATATGAGTGTCTATGGCCACACCTGTGAAGTTAGGTGCAGTCTCAAAGCCATTCCAGTAGCTCAATGGTTGAAATGCGTCATGAATCAACTCCACGATATTGCTTTGCTTTGTAGATCCAGCAGGATATCTGAGAGGAATTAGGTGAAGACGAGCAGTGAATCGTCTGT